AAAAAAAAAAAAAAAAAAAAGAAATCCTCATTTCTTAAAAAAAAAAAATGCCCAAAGTATCGACATTAAGTATAAAATGCCATTTGTAGGCTATGGATCCAGTGTCGCAGTGAATTCTAAATATTAAATACGAAACCCCTTCCATTAAGAAGGTGCTGAGAGCTGTACCCAAACCAACTGCAGGAGGAACACGTAGTGCCATCAGCACTGCTCAGAGCCAATAACAACTCGGAGAACTTTGATACCTGAAAACAATTCCATACTAGCGAACAACAGTACTCAGCCCACTGAGTAAGTGGAATAATCGATACAAAGGGCTGGTCCTAAGCGCATGGCAGGTGCCCAACCACAGATGCGGCTGCCGTGGATGTGAGGTGGGAGAACCGCTACAGCCAAGGAACACAGAGCGGTACCTTCCTGGCACACTAACAGCTTAAGCGCAGAAGGGGCGTGGGAACTGGGGTTTCGATGAAAAGATGTTCTGGCTTCTGAAGGAGCAACTGAAGAGGCGTTGATGACAGTGGACGTGCCGGGTGAGAGGGGAGGCTGAGGCCCCAGCTGCGGCTCCGGGACAAGAGGACCTTCTGGTTGCTGGGCGGAGTTCCATTTAATGTTATTTCCTATTATTATTATCCTCCTTTCCAGTTGCTTTAGGTTTATTCTGAAGTAATTTAAAAACAGGTTTTCCCACAGTTATGTTTTATTATGATCTCCTTCTTTCCTGTTATTATTTTCTTCCTTTTGATTGGCTGAAACAACTTAGATCCCATCCTTCTGAAGTAATTTTTCCTGGTAATGACCTATTCTTGAAGGCCAGCTTGTCCTCTTCCTATTTACCACTATTCCTGTGACAAAGACAGTGTTACGGGTTTTTTTAGACGCAAACAGCAGATGGTGTAAATCTACTCTTGAGAAAGCATCTGAGAAATACAGCCTCCACCTGAGAGCTGTGCCTGAGATGACTCCTCCAGACATGTAGAGGATGTGATGTCGGCCAGAGTTAGTCCCAGAACTCACGCTAAAGACATGACAGTCTTTCTCCAAGCATCAATATAGGAGGCTCTGCATTCGATAGGTTGTACAGCCCAAATATATGCCATGAGTTTCATCCCCCTGCAAAATCTAAGAATAGGAAATGGTGCACATTTGTGGAGAGAGCTAAGATACCGTTGTCATTGATAACATCTGTTACCCTTCCGAGAATCAACCCTCCTCCCATCAGGTTCACCAGGACAAAATGTTTTCTTCCACCTCATATAAGCTGTTGCTTTCTGACTTAGCTGAGTCGGATAGTTAACTGTATCTGCTGGTACAGTTAATTAAAGTTGTATTTCTTACCAGTGCATTACCTGATGGTATCCAAGCCTTACTTTACTTCTAACCATTCAAGATTATTAACGACCAAGTGAAAACTGAGACACACATACCCCAGCCATTACCCCCCAAAACAGCCAAGTGGTTAATAACCTCTCCAAGTGCCACGCCTACCTTAAGGTCGTTTATGGGGTATACTGGTTATAAGTCTCTGTGGGGAACTCTTTCCTAAGATGTCTGTTCCTTGAAAATTGTCACCGCACACGCGACTCTGGGCACTTTTGCTCAGTATTACTCCATAAGCACTGAGCACGTTCTGTATTGGAAAAAAAAAAAACGTATTATAGTCAGACCAGGGTTCCAGCCCCATTGTTAGTGGAGGTGTGATATTAAGCAATTATTTAATATCTCTGTAAAACTGAGAAAATAATAGTACCCAAACACAAAGTTGTTTTGTGTATGAAATGAGATTAGGACATGTCGATGTACGTTATCAAGCACTAGACAGATGTTACTCACCACTATTACTACATATTTGACCACAGTCCTGGAAGACCAGTATGGAATACTAATGCCCTGAGCCCCCTGCCACAACAGAACCCAAATTTCACGATGCCACCAACACAGGAGTTTCTGATGTTTGAAGATCAAAAATCTTTCTGATGTACTAGTTCAAGGTGACCAAATTTCAGAATTGACTGTGCAGATTCTGTGACTACCCACTATCTGAAACCGTACGCTCAGGAAGTGGCCCAAAGAGAAGAGAAGGGAAGAAAAG